TAGATTACAGTGGACTGACAGTAAATTTGCAGTAAAGTGCAGTTGACTGCTGTCAGGTGACGGCAAACCTGCAGTAAAGTGCAGTACATCTCTGTGAAACGGCTGTTGGGTCTTTGTAAATTGATCTCAGTGGGTTGGCGGTAAACCTATAGTAAAGTGCAGTAGATTACACTGGGCTGACAGTAAATTTGCAGTAAAGTGCAGTTGACTGTGTGTGTGTGCGCGCGAGGTGACGGCAAACCTGCAGTAACGTGCAGTACATCTCTGTGAAACGGCTGTTAGGTCTATTGTAAGTTGGAAGAAAAGAGGAAGAAAAGGGATGAAGGAGGAGGGTAAAAGGAGAGGGAGATGGGTCGGTGCTGCTGGCCTTGGGTGTCTGCAGCCACGCCGTGCTGGGACAGTATCAGAGAGGCTGGGGGAGAGGGGCTTAATTTAATCTTTATTGCATCTTTAGGCTTGTTTCTGGAATTGCTTCTGAGCCTGACCACACAGCCATCAGGCGCACTCAATAAATCCACTGTCTCCAACACGGTGATACAGTCTCTCTCTCTCTCTTGCGCACACACTCTCACACTCGCACACTCTCAGGCTGGGCTGGGCTTGAAAGCCCTCTCCCTGAATACATATACATCTTACCTGCCAGAGGCTTTCTGCTTTGTGCTTGAAGTTCAGCGTTCCAGAAACCGCTTGTGTATAATGTTAAGTGCAGTCTTCTGTTTAATACAGTCCCCGTTTAGTGAGGTGTAGAATATTGTCTGTAAAAAAAACTGAGATACCGGCCACCTGGAAGATGTTGGAAGCCGGATTATCGGTCACTGAGTAATGGCTCTGATGTAGACCTGATCCAATTGAGCCTGCGGGCTGAGGCTCGGATCGGTATCCCTGCGGCAGCGGTCGGTCACGGGCTGGGGCTCCGCTCCGCACTGCGCTGAGGGGGGGCGCGCAGGGGAAAACCGTTTCACCAGGGCGTTCCGCGCGGCTGCAACAGAGGAGAAAAAAAACGTGTGAGCAGATCACTTCTGCGGATGTCGTGGCTGTGACCAGGGCCGTGGGGGCACGGCCCCAGCTGACCGGGCCAGTGGCTGGAGTGGGTCCTTCCTGACCCGTCATCAAGAGCCCAAGCAGGGTGCGTCGGTCCGGCTGGTCCAGTTAAAGCGTTCCGCCCAGCTCCTGCGCCGCTCCGGTCTCAAACCGGCCTGCCCTGTAGCGCCCCAGAGCGGCTCGGGGTGCCTGGCGCGCCCTGGGGGGAGGTGACCACCAGACGGATTGACACCGGCCCTGAAGAGCCGCTGGCAGCTGCTGTGCTGATTGATCAGCTCTCCGCGGGGAGGAATCAAAGGAGGTGATTAACCCGGTGAGAGAGAGAGGGGGGGTACTCTCGCGCATCGTACCCCATGTTTCCAGGGCCGGCTCGTCAGTGCTTCATCAAACGCAAAGCCGCTTTTAATTGAAGTGGCCGTTTTTTTTGCCTGATTGCGCGGCTGCCGTCAACAATCCAGCGATGCTCGAGCTCCTCCGCTGACGGTCCCTCCCGGCTCATGAGGACGTTAATGCTGGGAACTGGAGGCACTTTCTTACGCAGAGGGTTGTGGGAGTCTGGAACGAGCTGGTTCTGTCATGAAACGGCCGGATGAGGTCCTCGTATCTATGAGCGAGCAGCTACCCCCACGGGCTGAATTTCCTCCTCTCGTTTCTAACCTTGCTTGTGTTCCTAATGCCTGGGAGCGCGGTGCCGGTCCTGTAACGGTGTGCGCCCCTGTTTCCTGGGGGGGACAGTGTGGCGTGAGTGCTGGCAGTGCTGGGGTGTTGTTCCGGAATGGGCAGCAGCCGATGGAGGGCAGAATTTCCAGGTGGTAAGGCTGGCCGTTGGGGGTCAGGATGCGGGGTGTAATTCAGGCGGTTGTGGGTCTGTCTGCCGGTCTCAGTCCTGTTCCTCAGCTATCACCCACACAGCCCAGTTCCAGTCTCCAGAAACTGGTTGACATTGAGCTGACGTTGTTGGCACGACGGGGGGCCTATGTCACATCGAATACCTTACAATGAATATCAGTTTAACAATAATACTTATAAATCTGCTGTGCAAATGAACAATACAGATAGTATGTCATTATTAATGGACGTCTTTCTCAAAGGCAGCTTGCAATCATAGCAGTTGCTAAACATTAGAAAACTGGAGCCATACAAACACATATAGTTGGATGCAGTACAGTAAGGAAACCATCGCAGTCGTAGCCAGTCTGGGAGTGAATCATCTCCTGGCCCAGTCTGAAGAGCGGGCTCGAGCAGAACGCAGGTGCAGATAAAGCACAGGGCATTGGTCTCAGTACTAGATCTTTGCAACCCACACAGCACACACAACGTCTCACAGGAGACATGCGGAGCTCACAGGGCCTGTAGGGTCAGTTTATGCCAGATTTGGGGGATCTTTAGGAAAGCGGTCAGCTCAGAGGCTGGGTAGGAGCTCGAAGAATGTTTG